GGTGGATGCCCGTGAGGCATCAAATGGTACAGTACATATCATAAACTACTTTAAAAACGTTTGGAAAGGGTTAGAGTAACTTGGGAGGAACAGAAAAAAAACTAACTAGTGTAGCCAAGGCTATGAAAGTGCTGCGGAAAGTGAGATGTTGTTTGCAAATTGAAGTAGGGATTGTATAGAGCTTGTGTAGAAATGGTTGTCATCAAGTTATTTTGTTTGGTCAAGTCCCAGAAATTGTTGAATAAGTTTTAGTTAGGGCAACTTGGGAGGAACAGAAACAAAACTAACAACAACAATAATAACTAATAACTTCGAGACCAAAATCAATATTGACCTAAACTGGGGATTTTGGGGTCAAAATCATCAACTTTTAGCTCCCATCTCCCGCTGGGATTCTCTCTCCAGTGAAACAAAGTTGCTATAATCCAGTCTGTTAAGTTTCTGTATCCTGTAAAGTTGTCCATTCTTCGTTTTCGAGTCAGCGGAGATGTGGTGCCGCTTGGTGCTTTCAGCTGAAGGGCCAAGTCGCCACGGTGAGGGAAATCAAGATTTACTTTGATCTGCACGTGCTCCAGGAATTTGATCGCGCAATTTTTCACTTCAATAAAAACTGCACCTGGGATTTGTCTGCAAATAAAAATATTAAACAGGTTAGGTTCATCGCTGCTGTATTTACTCTCATCAGAAAGGCCACTGTATTGGCGAGAAGATCCATTGTATATTTTAAAGAATACGTTAGGGTATCCTTAGGGAAGATATTTACGTCATTCTTAATAGTCTCTCAGCATTGTAAGGGAAAACATCTTTAAGACATTCAAAAAATATAATCCTGGGATTAATATAAAATAATTATGGGATGCTTAAAGAGCAAAAGTGACCTGAACAGTATTTTCAGCTGTGTTATCAGCTGTGATATTCGCTTGTGGAAATAAAAGCATTTAACTTTCACATAATGGACTTGTTACACCAACATGGCCAAAGGTTTATTGCCTCTGTAGCTATACTCCGCGAAGCAAGTAGAATCATCCCATTTCGCGACAGTGTCTAAATTAAAGTTGTTTCTTTGTCCTTTCGAGGATACGTGTGTTCTGTCTTGTTGAAAAAAATTCAAAAGGAAACTAATATCATAGCTTACTTGTTCGTTTCGCTGCCTTCAATCTCACATTTCAGCTGTCGAGGCACTGTTGTCCATTTCTTTGCTAGGCTCACCATCTTGCCAGCGTCCATGAGGCCAAAGCCATAAAACTTGCTGACATATAGGCCTGCTTTGTTCCGCTGCCAATATCCTCGTTTGAGTGCCACCCCCCCTGGGGCTCGCCTTGCACTGTAGGCTACAATGTGCTGTATGTCACGCCAAGTTAGTTTGGGACTAAAAGAGAAAATAGACAGAGCGATGAGGGAAATCTCAGAAAATATAACCAGAAAATCTTATAACAGCAGTACATTTTGAAAACAAAAAAAGTCAAGGTATTTTAAAGTCTCTTGGATTAATTTCGTTCATAAGGAACATGATGGTCATATTGGCAAAGCACAAGACACAAGCACACAAACAAACAGGGGTGATTTAAACCATTATTAACGAGACTCACGCACAGATTCATCCCTACCCTCTACGTTGTTTTCTTTTTTTTTCTTGTTCTTTTGAAAGGTGTATCCATGTGGCTTAGAGCATATGATTCGAAATCTCACGGTTCCAAGTTCAAATCCTGTCCTCAGCCATTCAATTAGATTTGATCCTCATTTGTGCTCTGTTCTACTCACCCGCAACACGTTGGCTGGGCGTTAAATTGCCAGAAATTGTCTGTTCTGGGCCATTTAAACTTAATCAAAATTATGTGGAAACTAACAGAAACTCGTCATCTACTAGGGACAACTCTCTAACTTAATGGCTACAGAAGCTCAAATTTATATTCCGTAATAGTGACCAGCATCTAATTTCTCCTTACAATATCACACCCGAGTCACATATGAAGGTCCCGAGAAGAAAGGAAATGATCACCAACTTAAGAAGCTCTCCATTGTTAAACAAATCCTGTTTCTCAGCACCTTAGGAAATGTCTACGAACAGTATGGAGGATATGCATGCTACAGTTAAGGCGTAAAGGGTGAATTCCACCACGAAATTGCAATGCTAAGGCAAGTGCAGGGGTTGTACATGTTCACAGTTCCTTCTGACATAAAATATACAATTAAGTTGTGTCTCTGTGTGGCTCATCTCTCCCTCTATGCGTGAAGTTAAACAGGATGACGTTATAGTCTTACTTTGCCTGCAGGGTCAGTGCAATCAGCCCGGACGCCATGGCAGTAGCCGCTGACGTGGCTGCGAAATCATCGACACAGCCCTCCTTGTTATCCACTGTTATCTAGTACATGATACACAAAACAGATTCAAACAAATTAACAAAAACAACCACACAACTGAAAGGAAACTAAAACAAGTTTTTAAAAATCTGTAGCAACCAGTTTATAGGATTGCACTTGCTTTTCAGGAACGCGTCCAAGTAAACGTCAATCAAAATGTAACCTTATCCTTTTCCCTAAAATTTCCCGTCTAACGACATCAAACACACCCCGGGCAAAACAAGCGAAAGTGTCGAAGAGAAAGAAGAAAAATTATTTGAGGTAACTTCTGGATGTTTTTTTTTTTCTTTGCTTGTTTGCTTGCTTGTTTTATTTTGTGCACTGGTCGGCTAAAGAGTGTTCAAGGGTCACTTGCAAACTTTTGTTTTATATCGTCCTCCTTTCATTTGATGTTATGCTTTACTTCTCTGTATCTATTCTCGTTTCTTGTTTCACTTCACTTACAACTTTTCCAAGTCCCTTAAATGAATCCCTGCTGTACGCGGCGGCCATGACTCCGGGACATTCCTCTGCGTAGGTGGGATTAGTTCCATCTTTGTTTACACCATTGATAGCGATGGTGTAAATACTATTCACATAACCATTGTACGCACAGCTGTCTCCCGTAATGCCTCCATTTCCAGCTGCAAATGTGTAAATGGCGCCCAGGCCGCCACGACCCTAGATTTGAAAAAGGGTACCAAGTTTCTTTATACCTTCACACTGGTGGTTATCCCGGACCGCCATTTGTTGTATTTTTTCCCAACAGTGCGCGCTTTCACTGGTTACTTAACAGTCACATGACTTCAAACAATGAAATTATTTCCCATCAAAAGTCTCTGAGCGGCACTACTGCAAAATCTATGACGTCAGAGGGTAAATGTGCGATGCTACTCGCGAATGTTGACTGACAATCACCGTCGGACGTCAACAGAGCGTGACTACATGTCGTGACATTTCTAGCAGTGTGGCATTTTGCGCTCAGTCGTTGAGTGATTATTTTCGCCTTCAAAGACCTACTTTACAAGTGAACAATGAGCAACAACCCAAGTTGACTAAAGAAAACGTGCCCTAAAATACACTAATATTTAATAAAGACACTGATTATTCTTATGCTGATTCTTGTTGGGATGCAAATAGTGACGATGAAAACTGACTGCTGAAAATTTCAACGTTGACAATGTTGACATAGACACTAAAAGGGGTCGATGATTTAAGAAGATACAGAGATAAAAATAGATGGCTGATGACAGAACACCTTAGGGGGGTGAAAAGAATGAGATCATTATATGGTAGAGTTCTAATAATTTTACTG